CAAACCCCCCAACTCCCCCTCCGTCCACACCGCTCCTTGTTTCAGTCCTTTTTATTCGCGGAGGCCCGCGCGGACTGAATATCATTCTGTGTGCGAGGTGGGTGGGCCGGGCGAGCACCCCCTCCCTTCCCCTCCCCTTCCGACCCCCTTCCTACCCCACATCACGTCGCGAAAAAGATAAGGAAACCGCGCAATGAAAATTCTGCAGAGATGACGGTGCATGTAATGAAATTATGCTGCTGCTGATGCTATCTATGGACCACGCCATGACCCCCCTTGTTCTTTTTGCCCTGTGAAGGTGTCCCTGGTCGCGGGCGCCACCGAGGAGAAGACGTTCCGCCGGACGTGCGTGCACCGGGACTCGAGCCAGCCCGTCTTCGACCACAAGTTCTCGTTCGAGGTGCAGGAGGCGGACCTCGAGAAGCGGGTGCTCGTCTCCGTCTGGCATCGCGACAGGCCAAAGAGGTGAGTTTCTCGACCGTACCGTGCGTGTGCACACGTAGTCCGTCTTCGCCGTGTAGAGTATACCCACGGGCGTTGGGCAGGCAGCAGGGCGCCGTGCAGCACTGCAGGGGGGGATGACAACAGGTAGGCAGGCGACCTGCAGGTCGTCGCGAGCAGGGCCTCTGCGCCTGCTGCGAGCCTCTGCCGTATGCCGCGCAGAGAGATCGATTCGCCTTCGCGTAAATATTTCCGGACGCACCAACGAAGCCGCGCGAGGCGGGGCGGGGCGGGGCCGTCCAGGAAGTATAACGAACTTCGATTGCCGGCGAGGTCGTCGCCGTTCCCGGAGGGAGGAGGGCAACGGCCTCTGCCCCGGCGCTGAAAAGAATTCCGTTAAAATTGCAACGCATTAGGGCGCCGTGTCACCGGTGTAAATTTGGAGCAGCCAGTCGCGAGCCGATGTCGCAGAGGAGGAGGAGGAGGGTGTTGGAGGAGGGCGCGCAGGAGGAGGTTGCGGGGGTGTCCGCGGCCGGCCGGCCCTCCCCCTAGTGCGACACCGAGGAGGAGGCAGCAGCAGAGAGAGAGAGAGCGCGCGCGGCGGGGAGGGGGCACACTTTGTTTTGCCCGGCGACGTGACCTGGCATTGCTGGGGCCTCGCCTCCTCCCACTCCCCTTCCCCCGCCCCG